GCTTCACTACGTTGCCCCCAACAAACCCCGCACATACCTCGATGGAGAGCGATCTCGGAACGGAGGATACATGCGTGCATGGGCGTGCATGGGCGTGCATGGGCGTGCATACTCGCCAGATTGCAGTGGATCGTCCGACGAGCTAATCGACCTTGTTCCTCTGCGTTTTTAGCACATCCTGGAAGCCCATTCGACACGCTCCGACGAAAACCCTGGGTCCCCTGCCATCCTCACCTTCGAGAGACATCTCTCCATAGTGCTGGACCCAACAGCCTCTGCACCAACTGTCGCACGCCCACTGTTTCAATGCCTTGCTCCAAAGTTGATAGTCGTTGAAGTAGATGATCCACGACGGTAGTGACAAGGACTTTGGTAGGGCTACTTTAGTCGCCTGATTTCGTTAAGGGCTTCGCAGGACCCCATGCGACGTCGCCAGTGTCCGGACCAGATGTGACACTCTGTCAAATAATGGTCCGGCCCACCCAGCTGGCATCGTTCGTTCTACATGCGCTATCATTGGCGCGTGAAAAATAATATGCCAAATTCGCGACTCGTTTTCCCGCTTGTTGTGTGAAATATTTTGTAATGCGATCACCACACATCGCCGCGAGCAAATTTGTTGGGAACTTCACACAGTACCGAGACGCGAATTTCCGGTGGTGAAAATTACAACTGGAGTAATGTGTGTTAACAATTCGCCATAAATTCAAACTTCATAACTTTGTGGTCCGGACGGCCTGTCGTTCATACCTGAGTCCCACACGTTCGGACGGAGCTCCGACCGGACGGTTAGGAAGCCGCATCCGGACTTTGGACGGAAGCAGAAACAAAGTTACGCAACCCAAATTGTAGTTGTCGCCTCCGAGTTTGCACCAGAGTTGGGCTGAGCTTCAGCAGTTCGATCTGTCTGGCCTTCTGATCCTCCGGCCATCTTGACACGAACACGCCAGCGACCCGTGGAGAGCGCGTCAGCGGCCTGTGGCGAGCACGCCAGCAGCCAGCCAGCGCGCCGAGGTCGTCGCTGTCAATCCCGACGACGACCCGCCATCGCGCCCGCCTGCGACCCCGCCATCGACCCTGCCAACGGCTCGCCACCGCCCCCGACGCGCCCTGCCCGCACCTTGCCAACGCCCTACTCCTTGCCCGCCGCCTTGCTACGCCCCACCTACGGCATTAGCTGTGACAGGGCTGCCTACACCGCCAGCTCGCAAGGTGGCGTGAGGGGGTGGCTGCCGTGTGCCCTCTGCTCGAACCACCCGCCGCCCTGCCACGCCCCACCCGCGGCCACCGCTGTGGGGGAGGGCGGGGGGGTGGGAGGGGAGGTGGCGGGGACCCGGGGTTTGGGGGGGGGTTGCACCGCCTCCAGCCTACTCCTCCCTTTCCCTGCTACTCGGGTGGTGGGAATGACCAGGCAACCACCCCTCCTCTCACTCTCTCCTCTCTCTCCCTGTCGCCCTTGCTGCGGGGTTGGGGGGGGGGGGGGGGGGGGTTGAGGGGGTGGTGGGAGAGAGAGCATCTTGTTACAATATGAAACTTAGTGAGAAGGCATTCCTGTACGCTGCAGGAGCCGACTCTACCGAGTACGAAGTCGAAGAGTCAGAAGAGTCGAAGCGACACCAGCAACCGTCAGATCAAGACCGATGCAGGCAGAAACATTTGAAGTGAAAAGTGCGGGAATTGGTCTGAAACTGGTTCCCGCGTCGCACGGTTTGAACTTCGCTGTAATAAGGGAATGTACCCCTTAGAGTACATGGCTAGTCTAGGTCGTTTCGCATTCCTTTGTATTTTCTGTATAAACCCGATGTATGCATGTTTTTATCATTTCGGTCCTTTACATTCACTCTGACCTGAGGTCAACACTTCCGCTGCAACAAACTATCTGCGATCAACCCTGAGACGATCCCTGGCTAAGTCCTGTTTAGGATTGTAACATGGTATGAGAGCTACTCAGAGATTCTTCGCAACTTTACTTCCGTAAAATTCGCCGAACCAAAATACGGCGACCAGCTAACGCTCCAAGACCAAGATGGCCGGAGGATCTGGACCCCTAACGAATCTAACGGTTGAAGGACAGGCCAACTCAGTTGCGACAAATGAGGCGACAACTATGATCAGCACTGTCGCACTCGAGCGGCTCTTTCAACGATTATCAACTATGGAGAAAGACCTCCAAGCATTGCGGAAAGGCGGCGCGTGAACCTCCTCGCAACCAGCACAACCTGCTCAACCGGCCACAAATGGCCGTGATAAGCCCCGCACACCTTCTCCCTCGACACAGACAGATCAACACCATCAGCCCCCCGTCCAAGTGATGAAGTTATCAACTCTGCGCAAGCACGCTTTCTGAGCGTTTCCAAGATCAAGACAACTACCGCCTTCAACGGCAATGATTTTTACATAAGGAGTAATGAGCTAGAGCTCCTCCTACAGACAGCGCATATCTACCATTACTTCGACGGCTCCTACCCTAAACTGGTGGAGGACACCGAAGACGCTCGGGCTCGGTACTACAGCAAGTCCCTCATGGCGTACAGTGTGCTGCTAAGAAATATGACGCCTGCGTAGCAACTCGGCATCCGCTCCTACAAGGAGAGCGCCGCTCTAGCCTTGGAAGCCTGGAAGCACGTCGTCGAGGTATATCAGTCAGAAGAGTCGAGGCGACACCAGCAACCGTTAGATCAAGACCGATGCAAGCAGAAACATTTGAAGTGAGAAGAGCGGGAATTGGTTTGAAACTGGTTCCCCCGTCGCACGGTTTGAACTTCGCTGTAATAAGGGAATGTACTTCTTTTAGTACATGGCTAGTCTAGGTCGTTTCGCATTCCTTTGTTTTTCCTATATAAACCCGATGTATGCATGTTTTTATCATCTCAGTCATTTACATTCACTCTGACCTGAGGTCAACACTTCCGCTGCAATAAACTACCTGCGATAAACCCTGAGACTATCCCTGGCTAAGTCCTGTTTAGGATTGTAGCACATCTCAACTTAACTAGCCGCCTCCTCCTCCTTCCTCCTCTCTCTCACTTCCTTTTTTTTTGTCCTGCTCTTCCTCCTCCTTTCTCAACTCTCTCCCTCCTCGTCTCTCCTCTCCCTGTGTTCTTTGTTCTCGCCAGTAGCAAGCCAGCCAGACCTAGACCTTTTCGGTAGGAAATGAAAACATCCCATCGTACAAGTGTTTCATCAGTTTGTCCAAACGGCACTGAACGTCCCTGTATAAACGCATGTGCCATTTGCAGGACCGTGTTTATATACAGATCACGGTGCATTTCATGCCATGTGGTTGATCATATTTGTTTTGAATTGAGGATTACATATATATATAATATACAAGTCCAATAACAACATATGACTTCGTGAAACGATTGGGCAACTCAGAGGAGGGGACAGAACTGGGTGCAAAGGACAGTGGATACAGCCGTAGATAGCCCGAACAGATCAGAATTTGGCTGGCATGTTTGTTTCACCCAGTCCCCTGCTGGAGAAATGCTGGTCAGAATCGAATTGGCAGTTGAGTACTGTCCTATGTGACCTGGCTAAATGCAGAATTGGCCGCGAAATTGGTTATTTTGCGATACGTCGCCCTCTCTTGTGGTTCGGATTGATTCTTTTGGAGGATAAGGCTGCAGCATTGGAAAGGAGTGTGGGTTTCAACAGCTCTTTCCGTCGTCTCGCCAGGAGGGAGCTGTCTGACACAGTTGTACAAAACACGGTGGATGGATATGATTACAGCTGGTTCTTCTTCTCCAACAGTGAACCGAAGAATAGCAGCAGGGTTGGGAAAATTGTCTCCTTGTAACGATGGAACCTCCAGCGGTGCAGAAGGACCCGATGTACAGTTCCCTCTGAAGGACCTCGTTGTTGATGAGGATGCTTCATTGTGTAGCTCGATCTGTACTGTTGACCGCCTAGACGCTGTACTGTAGGCTAGGCATGGCAGCCGAACATTCCCCGCCAGGCTTGGGTAGATTTCGTGCCTCCAGAAACAGTGTCATGAGATGGAAATCGACCTCTTCCTGACCGACCGACAGCCTGGGTTTCCCGCTCATCCACCCTCTGCCGCTGACACTTTTCTCCTCCCTTTTTGGCTGTACTTTTCGTCACAGCTGCCCTGAACGTAAACGGATGCTGCTGACGTGGCATCCGACGGAGGGGCATTTCATGCACAACTTCATCCCCTCCCTCCACGCTCCTGACCACCACACGGTTTTGGTCATCCCCCTCAACCCCGAATACGGCTCCGTCAAGCAAATGCCCGAGTGCCCGCCGCTCTTCCTCAAACGTCGAATCAGCTCCTTGCACCGCGTCGGTAGTCTGCCCGCCTTGGTTTCGTCGTCTGCCCTGCTTTCCCCACCCCACCCCACTGCCCGGTGAAGCGAAACCCTCGTCGGACAGGAGTTCCCAATGGGACGACCCGCTGGTGATGCTGGCTGCTTTGCTGGTGCTGCTCCCTCCCCCGCCCACAAACCCATTCTCCCACTGCTGCTGCCTGCTGTATCTCTCCAAGCCTGCCAACAAGCCCTCACCTCGCCTCATCTCGCCTCACGTCGCCTCAACTCTTAGCTCACAGTCACGAGGGTTTGAATGGATGCTGAGCCATCAGGTTCACTTAGTTATCACTTTCATGATCTGTTTGCTGACGTGTAGTAGCTAGTAATCTCGACTTCAGTACTCGATAGTTTGTGGTTGTTGAAGCGGTGGAGTTTTGTCGCACGAATCGCGGGTAAAAACTCGCTGACGTGTAGTAGCTAGTAATCTCGACTTCAGTACTCGATAGTTTGTGGTTGTTGAAGCGGTGGAGTTTTTTCGCACGAATCGCGGGTAGAGACTCTTGAAAGAACGATTCAGCTGATCAGGTTTAGGTTTAGATCGAAGCTTTTTAGTGAGTAATGGCATCGCGAGATGGTGGTGGTGACATAATGGCGTCAGCGGTAGACGATTTTCCGTCGCTGAAAGCTAAATGGGTAGTTATGCAGCATGCCGGCAAGAAGCCGGGTTCCATGTTCGATGACCTCGCCTTCGTGTGAGTTCTTTCTGTTTATACCAACCTCTCCTGATTTAGCTTGCACTTAGCCCGCATCCCTGGTAGTCTGGTCACGCTTTTTACATGTTTGATATGAGACTCGTCCGTCCATTCGTAGTTCACTCATCATTCCTGGTGACTTTCTCTGTGCAGCCCGGACCACGACCTCCTTGACACGGTATGGCTTGATAACCCCCAACAAGAATCTACCGGCAAAAAGGGCGAGAAACCGTGGCTGGTTGACCCTAAGGCCGCATCGTATCCGTCCGAGGATCCTCCATCGACGGCTGCTGTTCGCGATGCTGAGCTGGACGTCGTCAACACCCAGCTGGCGGTGCAGGATCCGCCGGCCGCTCCTCCGCCGGCCGCCTTTCGCGACGACATGGTGTCGTGGCTGCTGGACGAGGCAATCGACGGCACCTTCACGGCGGACGCGTGGCACGACTTCGCCGCCGCTGCTCTCGGCGAGGCGGGCAAGGAGATTCACAAGGACGCTGCGGCTGGTCCCACTGACCCTGCTGCCAAGCCCCCCCCCGTGCACGCTCCTGCTCCCACTGCCGCAGAGGCAGACGCCTTTCACAAGTCCGCCGGGTTTGGCGGCGCGAAACCGGGCTTTAAGAGCTCGAGGCCCGAGCAAGCGATGTTGTCGCAGAGACCTGTCGGGCAGGGCCAGGCGACGGGGTGCGACGGTGTTGCGAAGAAGACGGCGCTGAGCAACATGGGTGTCGCCGCGCTGCTCGCGCAGAAGCGAGCTATCAGCCTCAAGCCGGCCGCCGTGTTTCCCAGTGGGATGGCGGACATGCGGATGAGCAGCGGCGGGGCGGAGAAAGGCGCGGGTATGATGGGGAAGGGGGCGAGTATCATGGAGATGTTCAGCCAGCAGTCGCAGCAGCTGCAGCAGGCGCAGGAGTTACAGCACGAGCAGCTGGAGCTGCAGCAGCACGAAGAGGAGTTGGCCGCGCAGCAGCTTTTCCTCATGGAGCAGCAGAAGCTAAGACAGCAGCAGCTGAAACTTCGACAGGCGTTTCAGCAGCAGCAGCAACAGCAGCAGCTGCAGCAGCTGCAGCAACAGCAGCAACAACAACAGCAGGAGCAGCAGCAGCAACAAGAACATCAACAGCAGCAACAACAATTGTTGCAGGAGCAACATCAGCAGCAGCAGCAACGGAAGCTTCTGTCGCAGCAGCAGTGTCAGCTGGTGAAGCTGGAGGCGAAGCAGACGTCCATGCGGTTTCCCGACCAAGCCAACGCTCTTCACGGCAACTCCGCGCAGTGCGCCGCTCCGCGCGCCACGCCTCTCAACTTCTCGCACTTCTCTCTTCCCGCCGCCCTCTACGGCCGTTCGAACACCAAGTCCGCCGCCGCCCCCGGATCATCCGCAGCGGCGCCGCCTTCCAGCTCGCAAGGTAACTTCCGGCCGCCGGCTAAGGTGCCGGCGCCGCCCGCGAAACACGCCGCTCAATCTGCCCCCTCGCTTGCGCGCGCAGGCGACCCTTCAGCGTCTCCCCCGCAAGCTACAGCGCAGCAACAAGCGCAACTGGCGGCTACGGGGAGCCCCACGGCGGGCGCTGCGAGCCAGTCGGGTGCCGCACGCGGGTCGCGGTCTCCGCCTGCCGGTGGCGCGTCCTCCGCGGCGCACTCTGCTGCTGCGGGCGTGCTTACCGCCGCTGCGCCGAAGCCACTTCCGTACGCGCCGATCGCGAAGCAGCAGCAGCAGCAGGGCGCGGAGAGAATGCGCGGCGAGGCGTCGGCGGATGCGTTTCACGCGTCGACGGTGACGAGCAACGTGGACGGCCCCGGCGCATGGGGCAAGCACGAGCGCGACGGCACGGGCAGCTGCGCCGTGGGCGGAGACGACGACGACACGATGGGCGCGCACAGGGAGCGGATGGCGCGCAAGAACACGTGCGGAACCAAGGACTCGGGCATTCATCCGGGGTCGGGCGGAGGGGGCAGCTGGGGGAAGCGGTCGCGCGAGGAGAGCGAGAACATGGCGTTCGACGAGGCGGACGCGGCGGAGGAGTCGGCGGACACGCGCAAGACCAACACCACGGCGAAGCGCATGGCCGTGTCGTGCAACGAGAGCAGCGCCGCCAAGCGCGCGCGCGCCGCGGAAGTGCACAACATGTCGGAGCGGGTGCGTAGCCCTTCTTCCCTACCCTGCTTTTTCCGCTTGCTCGGCTTGTCCGTGCTGTTGATTCCCTTTCACCGTCTAGTCTGTACGACCATCTCGACGTGTGCTGGGCTAATCTCTGCTGTGACGTGTGTGTGTTGTGACCCGCCGTGGCGTGCGTGCGTGCAGAGGCGGCGAGATCGCATCAACGAGCGGATGAAGACGCTGCAGGAGCTCATTCCCAACTCTAATAAGGTATGCCGCCCTTTCTCGCCCCTCTCTCTCGCGCATCTTCCATATTTTCCGTTCTTCCATCTCCCCTTCTCCCCCCCCCCGCCCCCTCCCCCCCTCTCTCAACCCCTTGCGCTGTCTTTCTTCCGCTCGTCGTGTTTTCGCGCGAAATGGTCGTCCCGTCTAAATGTTCGTCTAGATTCTACCTTCGTTCTGCTTGCTAACCAGGAGCCTCTGTTCTGTGCATGCGTTGTGTGCGTGCGTGCCTGCCCGCATGCCTGGTGTGTTGCGATCCGTGTGCGTGTGCGTGCAGACGGACAAGGCGTCGATGTTGGACGAGGCCATCGAGTACCTCAAGATGCTGCAGCTGCAGCTACAGGCAAGTCGCCCTCTACACTCTCCGCTCCCTCTGCCCCTCCGTCGCCCGCCGCGCTGCTCCTCCATTGGTCCTCCCTCGTGGCCCTCCCTGAGCACACCGCATTATCTATTTTCAATCCGTGTGGTGCGTAGTGTTGATACGCGTGGAACTCCCTCCGCCTGGCCGCTCATTCTCCTTTCATCCTCCCTATCCCCCTCCCCGTCCCTCCGCTTGCTCTCCGCGACCCTCCGTTGGCGCGCGCAGGTCATGTCCATGCGCACGGGCATCAGCATCCCCTCGGGCCTCACGGGCGCGGGCGCGGCGCTGCCGTCGCTGGGCGCGGCGAACATGGCGGCGGCCGCGGCGCACATGGGATCGTCTCCGCTGCCGGGCGCGCTGGGGATGGGGCTCTCAGGCATTGGCGCAGGGCTGGGCGGGGGGCTCGGGGGGATCAACGCGGGCATGGGCATGGGTATGGGCATGGGGATGGGGCTTGGCATGGGCGGACTGGGAGGCATGGGGGGGTTGGGCATGGGAGGCATGGGCATGGGCGGTCTTGGGCTGTCGGAGCTTGCTGGACTGCCAGCTCAGCAGCGGCTCATGATGGAGATGGCGTGTGCTGACCTGGCGCCGAATACAGCCGGCCAGGGTCAACTGAATGACATGTCATCGGTCGCTGCAGCAATGGCTGCTGCCACGTCATCGCAGTCGCTGTCCCAATCAGCACGGCACTCGCAGCTGCTGTCACAGCTGCAGGCCGCGCAGGCAGCAGTGGTGGCAGCGGAGGGCGGCGCCAGTGGAGGGGGTGTGGGGCGGGACGGTGGAGGAGGGAGGGCAGCAGCAGGCTCGGCGTCAGCATCAGCATCGACGTCAGCAGCCATGGCGGCAGCGGCTGCAATGCTGGAGGGGCACCGGCAACGGGGACCCTCTGTTGACCCCATGGAGGCTTATCTGGCACGACACCAGCAGCAGCAGCACCAGCAGCAACGGCAACAACAACAGCAGCAGCAACAGCAGCAGCAGCAGCAACAACAACGTCAGGTGCGTTTCAGTGTACTGCCAGTGCTACCTGAGAGATTCGCTTGCACAGAACCCTGACAAGGCTGGTTTCGGAAGATGTGATGGCCTGGCTGACTCACCCGCCGCCTACCTCTCTCCCTTGTGTGCCTGCAGGCGTTCAATCTGGACATGTACCAGGCGTTCCTGCAGCAGCAGCAGCAGCAGTAGGTTAAGGTCAAGCCGGGCAGTTATGCGTTTCGTGGGATTCTTTGTGTGGCTGCTGTGGCATCGTTGGGTGCGGTGTAAGAGGGTGTCACAACAGCAGCGGTGGCAGGTCAGCATGCGGCTAATTGCTGCTGAAGTCACAAAAGGCTCGACAGGCCACTTTAAACATCAAGTGTGCGTGAGGTTACTAGCATTCTTCAGGTCTTCCACTGTTATTGCTCTATTGATAGTCAGCCATGGCTGTTCATTTCGAGTGCGCGGTGGGGTCTGCCATTCTTCAAACATGGCAAACACGGCTGCCATGCAATGCAAACACGTTTGTCTGTACTTAATTTTGCTTGTGCTCCTAGGTTTACCTTCTGACCAGTGTAGGGAGAAACTTCAGCGAGTGCAAAACACTGCTTGCAAAGTTTTCACTGAATACGTAAGGCTAAAGCTGTGGTGTGCATTCTGGACAGCCCAGATACTGTAAATGAGAACTATTGAGGGTCTAGAAAATGTGAACATGTGGTAGCTTGGATTGAAAGATACCTATTGCGGGACTAGAAAACGTAAATGTCTCAATATTATGGCAGTGTGTTGAAGCTTTGGCTCTCTGCAAGTTCAGCAGGAATTGTAGGAAAATCCAATCAGAAATGGTAACTGAGGAAGTTGGTAAGCAACAAACTGTGGGTGTTTGTTGATGGTATTGACTGTATGTGTTAACGAGGTCGTTGATTTTTTTTTATTTTTATTTTTTGACATATACATTTATGAGGACAATGCATACATCAAAAGCAGTCGTAACTGAGCGTGAGGGCACTGCACCATGCACTGCCCAGTAATGCATCTAGGGCGGCAGGAACGCCCGCTTTGGCTTGTTCCAGATAGCAGCGACGTTTGTCGACCACTTCCATTTTTTGTCACCTGTCTCCCTTATCTCGCCAGCATTTTTTGCTCCGCTTCGAAAACACTCCTGACCCGTTTTCCCTTCCCTGATGTCCCTGGCCGCAAGCTTTTGGCACCCATTGCTCTCGTGTACACTCTCGCGTGTAGCCTAAAAGCCGACCCAATCCTCCTGAGAACCCTCCGGGCTCTGAATTTCTGCCCTCGGAAAGTTGCTTCACATCTCTCCACCCACAGCTGATGAAAAGTAATCGATGTGAGGGTAGCCTCCGGGAAATCCGACGCCGTTCCGGTTTCCTGGAACAAGAGGTCCCCCAGCGAGGCAGTTGTCCTCCCTGGATTGAGCATGCGCAGAGCACGACGGAGCCCTGAGACAACTGGCTGAATTCTCGGGCAGGAGAAAAGACAGTGTTCGTGCGTTTCCTCCACTCCGCAGTATGGGCATTTTGGCTTGCAGCTGAGAAAATCAACTCGCTCCCCGACCTGAAGGTTCAGGTTATGCACCCGTGTGAGGACATCTCTCGGTCGGCTCGGGATGGCCAGCGAGTTGCGTGTGCGAATGATTCGCTGCCAGTCAATCTTGCCGCACCATCGACCAGACCACTTTGCCTGCTTCGTTAGGACTGCATCGGGTTTGGTCCACACCTCCCTCATCCGCTTCAGAGAAGCTGCTCGCTCTCCGTCAAAAATTGCTGACCGGAAAATTGAAGCCGTGGCCCCGCGACACCCCCCTGCTGTCACCGCTGTAACCGCTTCTTTCTCCCCTCCTCCTCCAGCCGTGCCGTTGGGGATCAGCAGGGTTTTCCACTCCTCCGGGGCTGCAGCAAAGGCTTTGAGAGCCAGCCGAGCAGATTCCTTGCCCCTCAACTCTTTTTCCAAGACATCCATGTCCTTAACTGCTGCTTCGCCTGAGGGCGATGTGGTTACCAGGTCCCCCATGCGAGTATCCCAGAGCCCTTTCGCCTCCTTCTGCCCGCCCACTGGGTTAGTGCCGTTCAGCAGCACGTTCCTGTTGAAAATAATTCTTTCCAGCGCCACCTCCTCCTTGCTACTGACTTTTCCTGTGTCAGCGAGAGGCGATTTCAGGAAAGTTTCGCAGGTCTGCTTCCACCGCTCCCCGTGTCCCGGCCAGTGCTTCAACACCTTTTCGTGCGCCGTGAAAGTGTCTTCTCCCATCGGGAGCCCCGCCGCTTTAAGCATGATTTCTTTTTTCTTGCCGTTCCCCTCCGACAGGAGTCCAGCGATTCTCCTGGCCGCAAGACAAGCCATGAGGACCTCCGGGTCCAGTACTCCGAGCCCCCCATCACCTCGCGGAGTAGAGAGGAGATCCCAGCTCCACAGCACAAAACCTCCATCCGCCGACGCGTTATTCCCCGACAGAAAGTTATGAATTAACTTCATCAGCTTCTTCCAGACTTCTTCCGGTGGGGGGTAAACTTGAGCCTGGTAAGCTACCTTAGGCGTGATGTAGCAGTTTATGATCACCACCCTTGCCGCAATCGTAAGGAAAAGCGCTTTCCACTTGATCAGCTCCACTGTAATTTTCTCGAAAGCCCTTAACCATGTCGGTTCGCTGCTACCGGAGGGGGTGATCCAGACCCCCAGAAGGCGTTCAGCTTCATCTGCCTTTGCCCATTTGAAGCCCCCCAAAGTCCCAGGTCTCCTTCCAAGATTATGCCCCAGCGGCATGACAACCGATTTTTCCCTGATGGTGACCAAACCTGACATCTCTGCAAATTGCTTCAGTAGTTTTCCTGCCCTGGCGATCTGGCGTTTTCCCTCCAAAAACAGTGTTGTGTCATCCGCGTAACCCAGGTAAACTAACCGCTGTCCAGCTTTGTTGCAGAGGCCCAGCTTCCGCCTACACGCTTCTTGCCCAAGCGGCTCCACCGCGCAGAGGAAGAGGTATGGAGCAAGCGGACACCCCTGCCTCACCCCTGATTTTACTTCCACCGCCTCTCCCAGCCAGCCATTGACTAGTAACCTTGTCCTTGTATCTCTGTGCAGGCCTTCCACCCAGCCTACGAATCTCTCCGGGAAACCCATATCTCTCAGGATCGTAAAGAGGAAACTCCGGGACACCGAGTCAAAAGCCTTACGGAAGTCCACCAGGAGCATGTACCAATCTTCGTTCCCCTTTTTCGCTACTTCAACGACGTCAGCCACCACGCCAATCGCGTCAGAGATCCTCCTCCCAGGTATAAACAGGCTTGATTCTGCCATGTTGTGCGGGCGGGACGATGGTGAGGTGGGGTGGATGAGGGAGGGCTTCTTTCGGTGTCTGGCTGGGTCTGAGGGTGTCTTTCTGCCCTTGCTGCCGGCTGCCCCATACCGAGAGCGATTTGAGATTTTAGACGATATCGATTCTCGACTGTGTGTGCACTGTACATCTTGCCACAATGCTGCTCAAGTTTTTTCGCTTCCTTTCCCCACTTTTCTCGCCCCCCTCCCCGAAGAATCCCCAGCCGTGGACGCTTGCCCAATTGCGGCAAGTGCCGAGGGGTCCAGGGGACGAGGGGGGAAAGTTTCGGGCTGGGGTCAAGGGAATATGGCGGAAGCTGGTTTGGGGGGTGGGGTTGTGGAGTGGGGTTGGGTGGTTGGGAGAGTGGGAAAAGGGATGTTCGGGGCACCAGGTTTTAAAGCGACGGGCAACTTTTGGCAGTGTTGGGTTCAGAAGTTTTGTTTTTTTAACCAGGCTTGCCAGCGCGAAAGTGCTGGCTGGCGAAAACCAGGATTTCATGCGGACACTTTCCATCCGCAGTAACAGTTCGCCAGGGTTTTGGGTTTTGGGTGGCAAATGCGCACCGTCGCTTTAAGGGGGCGAAATTTCAACTCCAGAACACTCTTTTAGGGCTGACCAGTAGAGACAACTCTTGAAGTGCAATGTACAGTGGATGCTCACCTAGTCCTGTTTAATTTGCCATGCCCATTTCAAAACGTTTCCCTCGTGCACTCGTGGACGGACAACGGCCCTCATGTACAGTCACATCAGTAGATCGTAGCCGTCGATCGAACTGCTTATCACGCTGTCAACCATCCTTTCGTCATATATTTTGAAAACGGTACATGGTAATTCGTTAACCCCTCCACTTGCGCGTTACAGTCCCATATTTTCCAGTGGCGAAGTTGAGCGAGGTAGGCGAAATGCATATGCTCAGTCCCCGCCCTTTGATAGGGCGAAGGTGGGGTGTCTCTAATGGGCATCGACTGTACAGACGCAAGTGCAGTGCATGCACAGCTTCCGGTGTAGTTACCGCGAAGGCACATCCCCCTCCACCAGTCATAACCAGTTTTAACTGCTCACCCATGCGTGTTAAAGGCGGGGTGCAACTTCTTAGGAACAGTAGGGGGACAAAAATGGCATGTGAGTAACTTGAATTCTATTGGACGAAAAAACTGGAAAACCAGAAGAGGACAAACTTCTCGGCTCTGAACTGCCTGGGTCAACCTCTTCCAAGCTATAATACTTTGAAGTTGAAGTTGATAGTTGGGCCACGGCTTTAAATGCGTAGTGAGGCGGTTGCAAGCGACAGACGAATTTGCCGTTGATTCAGGTATTGCCACTAGTTGCTCATAAATAGCCTAGCATACTTCCACGTTGCCATTGATTGTGTTGTTCCGCGATTGATTGTAGTGTTCTCAAGAATTTGAGAATTAACTCGGACCTTGGTTTTGGGTCTTTATTACCATGAATATGGACATAAAAAGATTACTTTCAGTGTTTTCTCTGGATGGAAATGTAAAAAAACACTTTGCAAATATTGTTTCCGATAACAAACTACACCAGCGTTTACGTGTCTGGTAGGATTCACTGGAGCTTGTGGTGTGGGAGAGCACTGGTGCAACGAACTACTGATGGCATGCACCTACGCGTACCAATGTCTTGGCTCTGGTTGGACGCCCACCACAAGTGACACCACGCTAGGCAGTTGTGCTTCCAGAGAATGATTCTCCTCGCTTCATTTGCACCACAAATGTAATTCGCATTTAAAACATCCCTGCCTCAATGATCGATTCGCTTCCTCGACCAACTGGTTCGGCCAATTGGCCTTCGTGGCACGATATTTCGGAAGCATTTGCCGTGTCATCCTCCTCTCAGGAACCACAGAATACTGGCG